CCTCAGGGGCTCAGTCAGTTAAGCGTCTGCCTTCCGCACAGGTGATGATATCCGGGTCCTGGGACTGAGTCCTGTGTTAGACTTCCTGCTCGGCAGAGTCTGCTTCTCTCGCTTTCTCCAGCCCCCCCTGCCCCTCTCCACTAGTTCTCGCTCTCAAATCTTAAAAAAAAAAAAAAAAATTCATACCAGTGAGTCATATTACTTAAAAAATAAATAAATAACAAATAAAACCACAAAAGACACAAACCCTAACCTAACTGCAACAGGAAAATAAATCAGAGAAAAGGTAAAGATTGTTATGGCAAGGAAAAAAATATTAGAAGCTGGTCTCAGGGTTTACCTACCTCCTGCCTCCTCACTGTTGGGACCAGCTGACATGCCTAATCGCTCCTTCAGAGACTTGGAAACATGAACTGTAAAAAATATGTATTTTAAACACCAAAAGTTGAACAGAGACCTTTTTTTTTTTTTAAAGTTCACAAATTAGGTTTATGTTTGTCTTCTAATGAAAATACTTAAAAAAGAAATCTCTTAAGGTCTTAAAATTTTTCTTTTCCACAGAACAAGACCTATGTGAATCATGGATTCCCTAGAGCACTTTGGAAGGCTTTAAAAAAAAAATAATCTTTTTTTAGATCTGAAAAGCAAAAACTTGAATTCAGGGAAATAATTCTGTTATTGTACAAACTTCTATAATCTTAATGGCATCAAAAGGCCCCCCAATCTATTTAAAATGTGCTTTTTATTTATGAAAATTTTTAATATGATCGATAGGCAAGGAGAAAAAGGTTATGACTGCAAAGAAAAAGAGTAACTTGGGGCGCCTGAGTGGCTCAGTTGGTTAAGCGGCTGCCTTCGGCTCAGGTCATGATCTCAGGGTCCTGGGATCGAGCCCCATGTCGGGCTCCCTGCTCGGTGGGAAGCCTGCTTCTCCCTCTCCCCCTGCTTGTGTTCCCTCTCGCTGTCTGTCAAATAAATAAAATCTTTAAAAAAAAAAAAAAAAAGAGTAACTTGTTTGCTCTGAGAGACCAAGAAAGACCCTAAACAAAAACATCTACTCATTAAAATCTCTTCAGCTAGGGGGAAAGTGGAAGTTTCTCATCTTCAAAAGAAGTTAAAACTAAACACAATAAAAAGGAAAAAAACCCACCTATTCTTTCAGTAATTAACACCAATGTTTCACTGCCAAGTCATAAAAGGAAAACAAAGTCCAACCTTGACTTCTATAAATAGAACTTCAACCACGAAATCATTCTTTTTTTTTTTTAAAGATTTTATTTATTTATTTGACAGAGAGAGACACAGCGAGAGAGGAAACACAAGCAGGGGGAGTAGGAGAGGGAGAAGCAGGCTTCCCGCCGAGCAGGGAGAGCCAGATGTGGGGCTCGATCCCAGGACCCTGGGACCATGGCCTGAGCCGAAGGCAGACGCTTAACGACTGAGCCACCCAGGCGCCCCAACCACGAAATCATTCTAACTGCCAAATATCTCTCATTTAGTCCACATCTCTCCATACCAACTTTTAGAACACTAAATCTATGCCACTAACTCCTCTCGTTTAGATTTTATTTTTATTTATTTATTTATTTTTAAAGATTTTATTTATTTATTTGAGAGAGAGAGAATGAGAGACGGAGAGCATGAGAGGGGGGGAGGAGGGTCAGAGGGAGAAGCAGACTCCCTGCCGAGCAGGGAGCCCGATGTGGGACTCAATCCCGGGACTCCAGGATCATGACCTGAGCCGAAGGCAGTCGCTTAACCAACTGAGCCACCCAGGCGCCCCTCGTTTAGATTTTATTAACAGCCTGCTAACTCATATCCTGGACAGCACACTCGTCCCCTTCTAATCTTTCTCCGTATTTTAGGCAGGGTGATGGTTCTGAAATGCAAATCTGAGCTTTTGATCCTTGTTCATAACCTTCACATGGTTTGCTACAAAGTCCAAACTCTCTACCATGGCTTGAAAGGCTCCATACGATCCACTTCCTTCCTCCTCTCCAGTCAATATGCCCTTTACCCCAATTCTATGTTTCAACCATACTCAGTTCCTTGAGTATATCCTGCTTTCTTAGCTCTGTGCTTTCTCTGCCTCAGCATAGCCTCTGGTCCTTCAGCTTCACCTCCCTAATTCCTAACTCATGTTTCAGGTCTGCTTCAACATAATTTGCCTTGGGAACCCTTCCCTGACAGATGGTAAGAGAAGTGCCCTTCCTGTGTGCTCCGATAACACTGTGTACTTTTTCTATCACAGAATTTATCACAATATATATAAGTACTCCTATCTGCCATTATACTATAAGCTCCTGAGCACTGTGATGTTATTTATTTTATCCAGTGGCATCTCCCTAAAATCTAGCACTAGAGTAAATACTCAAATGTTTGTTGAATAATGCAAACAACAAGATAATCTAATTTACCTGAACAAAAAAGAATGACGAACCATACCTGTTAACATTATAAGAGACAAGTATCATGATTACACACACACACACACACACACACACACACAGAGTATATTAGAACAAAGGTACCTTTCTTTGGTGCTTTGTCAGTGTTAGTTTCTGTAGCTTCCACCTTCTTCCCCAACCTCTGTGCAAGGCTACGCTTTAATGGAGGATCACTGTCACCACCTACAAATGGAGACAACTTAGTTCAAGAGTTCAAATCAGTCTTCAACAAGGTTAAGAAATACAAGCAAAACAGACAATGCAGAATGTCAGTTTTCTGCATTTATATAGTGTGTTCATTCACTAGTGTCCTTACAGAACTCAATGTTAGAGAATAAAAATGTCCCAGAAAGAAGAAATAAGGGACAAAAAGTAGAATGCACAAATCAACATCTATCAAATAATTGACTAAAACTACAAATGGAGAATAAGCCCCGAGTAAAGCCAAAATTCAGAATTAGGAATATGTGAAAAAAACTTTATATACAAAAAGCATCTTAAATGGCCACTTGCTAAATTCTAGGGGTATCTGTGGTTAAATGCACCCGGAATGTTCCTGGTGGACAGGAAAGGAATCATTATATTTTCCTGTGACATGAAAACTTGGAAGACCAAATAGCCCACTCTCTTCAATTGTAGATAAGAGATCTAAGGTTATGAAAAATTCTATCTTACTTAAGTCACCAATTAGTGATAGAACCTTACCAAGTTTCCTGACTGGTTGTTTATTATATTATACTATTCAATATGAGCTGTTTAAATGTCACAAGTTAAAAACTGTTTTTCAGATTGCTTGACTAGCGATAATCTTTGCAGCGTCCCATTAAAAATCTGAAAGACCCTACACAGGGTATGATTTTCTCTCTACTCTCATTTATAATTTAAATTTAAATGTGAGACCAAAAATCACAAAGTTTACATGTATGTAGACATTAAAAAAGCTGTATTTTTTATCTAAAACTTCTCAGGCAGTGAAAATGGTATCAAAGAAAACACAAAACAGGTAAGATTTCATATTTGCAAGCGCATTTTAAGAAGAGTATGAAGGAATAGCTGAAATCAGAGAAGATTTTTTTTTTTTTTTTTTAAGATTTTATTTATTTATTTGA